GGCTCTTCAGAGTTGATGGGACTGGGTGGCTACGTGTAGGGGCTGGTTGCCTCTCTCTGCACCTCTTGTGTTCCCAGGGGGCCTCGCAGGGGCTGAGATCCTGGGAATGCCAGGAGCCTGGCTGCGTGGCCCGGCACCCTGATGCCTTTCTGTTCCTGATGGCAGGCCAGCGAGACCGAGGAGAATGGCTCAGACAGCTTCATGCACTCCATGGACCCACAACTGGAGCGGCAAGTGGAGACCATCCGGAACCTGGTGGACTCATACATGGCCATCGTCAACAAGACTGTGCGGGACCTCATGCCCAAGACCATCATGCATCTCATGATCAACAATGTGCGTGCGCCGCCACGTGGGGGCAAGAGCTGCTTGAGACCAGGGGACCAGGTGGCCAGGTGGCTGGACAGGGGAGATGCTGGCCAGCCCCATGGGACCAGGTCCAGGGAGGGAGGCACAGTCCAGACCAGAGCTGTCCAACAGAAATATAATGGGAGAGGCCAGGCATAGTGGCTCACTCCTGTCATCCCAGCGCTTTGGGAGCCTGAGACGGGAGAGTCGCTTGAAGCCAAGACTTCCAGGCCAGCCTGGGCAACACAGCAAGATCCTGTCTCCACAAAAAAATGTTTTAAAGTAGCCTGGCAAGGTGGTGTGCTCCTGTAGTCCCAGCTACTCAGGAGGATGAGGTGGTAGGATCACTTGAGCCTAGGAGTTGGAGGCTACAGTGAGCTCTGATCATGCCACTGCATTCCAGCCTGTACAGGGTGACAGAGTGAGACACCATCTCTTAAAAAAACAAATTTTCACTGGAAATACTTCATCTGAATTTAGATTTCATGAAATTTGCATTGGAAAAAGTAGGTTCACATACCCAGGTTGTTCTAGACATGCTAAAATGTCTTCCAGGAGGGACCAAGAATCTTTTGAGAACCCCAGACCATGCTTTGAAATACACACCTTACAGCACCACGACTATGACTTAGTGACAAGTATGGCCCCCAAAGAAGTAGAACTGGATTTGAATCCTGGCTTTGCCACAAATGCCCTGTGACTTTCGCAGATAAACATCTGTTTCTCATACATAAAATATGGACAATAATATAGTTGTGGATTAAGTGCATATAAAATGTGTAGTAACACAGTGGCTGACACATAGTACATGCTCAACGTGTACCTGAATAGTGAATAAATAAGACTAGAGTTTTTTTTAGCTGGGCTCGGTGGCTCAGCCTGTAATCCCACGCCTTGGGAGGCTGAGGTGAGTGGATTGCCTGAGCCCACGGGTTCGAGACCCGCTTGGGCAACTTGGCGAGACCTCATCTCTACAATAAATCAAAAATTAGCCGGGCGTGGTAGCGCACGCCTGTAGTTCTGGCTACTTGGAAGGCTGAGGTGGAAGGATCGCCGGAGCCCAGCAGGTCGAGGCTGCGGTGGCCGTGAGCAACCACTGCACTCCAGTCTGGGCGACAGAGTGAGACTCCAACTCAAAAAAAAAAAAAAAAGACTAGAGTTTTTAAAAACCTCAGTATCTCTCCATGCATGGCTCAGAGTCTGGGTAGGGCTGGGTAACACCTGAGGGTTTGAAGGTGAGCGTCAATCCACCCCTATACACGGAGACTGACATTCCACCCAGTCCAGGCACACATTTGTAACTGCCATTCTCATTTCTCAAGGGTCCAAACCTTTTTTGTTTTGTTTTGTTTTTTAAGTCGGGGTTTCAATCTGTCACCCATGCTGGAATGCAGTAGCAGGATCACAACTCACCACAGCCTTGACCTCCTGGGTTCAATGTGGTCCTTCCGCCTCAGCCACCCAAGTAGCTGGGACTACAGGCTCATGTCGCCCTGCCGGCTAATTTTTTAAAATTTTTTTGTAGATACAAGGTCTTTCTGTGTTGTTCAGGCTCGAACTCCTGGGTTCAGGCAATTCTTCCTTGGCCTCCCAAAGTGCTGGGACTACAGGCACACGTGAGCCACCGCATCCAGCATTCAGACAATGTAAACTGTCACCTTAGTTCCGTTCACTGGAGCATGCAAACCCTTAGAAAGGATATAGCTACCCCATTTTTACAGAAGAGGAAACCGAGGCTTAAAAAGCTGACTAGACAGGTGTCCTGGTGGCATGAGAGGTCCTGAGTCTCCTCGCAGATCTGTGACCTTGGACGGGTGACTTTTCCTCTCTGGACCTCAGTGTCCCCACTGAGAAAAAGGCGGTGAGGAGGCGGAACTCTTCGAGCTTAGGCGGTGTCAGGGTCGCGTCTGAAACGCCGAGCCCCGGGTTCCAAGTCCGGCGCACCTACCGGCAGCGCCCGGCGGGCCGGCAGGGCGGCACCGGCATCAGGTTCCAACCTCCTCCCCTCCTCGCCCACTCTCAGACTAAGGAGTTCATCTTCTCGGAGCTGCTGGCCAACCTGTACTCTTGCGGGGACCAGAACACGCTGATGGAGGAGTCGGCGGAGCAGGCCCAGCGGCGGGACGAGATGCTGCGCATGTACCACGCGCTGAAGGAGGCGCTCAGCATCATCGGCGACATCAACACGACCACCGTCAGCACGCCCATGCCCCCGCCCGTGGACGACTCCTGGCTGCAGGTGCAGAGCGTACCGGCCGGACGCAGGTACCAGGGCCGGCCCCCACGGCCCCGAAGCCCCCCAGCCCGGGGC